GAGTGACGGTAGAACATAGTAAAGAACACGGAAAGCACAGTTGTTAAGACAAGTACTGAACGAATGAACAAAGTGACAAATCCTTTGCGAGAAAGAATACGCGAGAAACAAGGAGCAGAGTGAGATAGGGCAACTTGCAGAGTCACAGTTAAATACTTCTTAAATGCACGCAATGAGGAATAACGCATAGGTCATTGCATGTCAGCAATAAATCTTGAAGTAGATAAAAAAGTCATTAGCTTGAACCTGTATATTTAGAGGATATAAACTGTGAGATCCTACAACGAGTCTGAGAGCTAGAGTTTCCAGCCTACCCTAAGGGCATGCTTGTTCTTCTTCGGTTTTAATGTTTTGCGTTATTGTATGACAATTCGCTGAAGGGAATATTCCGTCTTTTGATTAGTCTATTACTATCTGTACGATTTGCAGACTTATGACTTATGGCTCATGACTTCAGCGTATCGTATGAGTGCTAGTTCGGTTTTGGATTGCACTAACGGACACGCGGAGATACTTAACAATTATTGTTAGCTCATTCGACCCATCACTGTGATACCTTCGTGTATGTGAAACCGGTGTTTGAGACCCATATTCACTTCGAACTTAAACTACTCCGGAGTACTCTCTGCGGGCATTTATTATAACCAAATATAGTCTGTACAGCGGATAATCACTACAATTTGCCTAAAGAACAAATTTGATTAGAATGGATAACTATTTATGCTAAATTCAATTTTCATATACAACCAAAATGTAAATATGAGCTTGAAGTTGGTATCTAAACGCATGACATTAAAATAACTTAAGAGTTCTAGTTTCTCGAGGGCGATAGGCCTTCTGATTCCATGATTGGCGGCACTAAAAACACGGAAAGTTTTATTTAGAGAAATTTCAGCATTTCGACTAAATTTACATAGCGTATCATCCGGTATTCTACTGTCTCAATCGGATTAATTTCCAAATATGAAACTGGCACAGTGAATAGCTTGACTCTAAGTCGATGAGACTACGCTTCTTGTCGTCCACAGACACGATTTTCGTCACCATGGAGAACTGAAGTTTTCCTAGGAACAAAACGATAAACTTGTGGGATATAACAACATAACAAAACGTACTTCATTTCAAACAGTTCTTCAAGCACCTTATCGCGTTCCCATTGGACCTGATTTAACTGAAGTTTTAGGTTGTTTAACTCGAGCTGACTTTTTTGTGTAATGGTGAGAAGTTCCCTTTCTAAACTGCGCACCTTTCCTTCGATCTTCAATCTATAATTGAAAATAAAGCATCAAGGTTTAAAAAAGTTTATGCTTAAGCTCCAACACCAAGATCAGCTTTGATCACAAGTCCTCAAAAATTAACCCAACCCTAATTTTACAAAGAGTACAAGTTTGAAATCCTTTGGGTTGCAGAGCCAGCGCATAGTGTTATGAACCACGGACTTTTCATGGATAAAGGCACGTCAGTAGATGTTACAGTAAACTGATCATGTTCTCCGAAAGTCAGAACTGCAACGCGAAAGACTGTTGTGTAGGCGATGCTTCGGACTGTTTAGGAGGTTTATGCTTAGCCTTAGAACTGCATTACACACACACACACACACACACACACGGACCGAAATTCTTTTAGCCAGATGTGCAAGCTTTCCTAGCCGATCATTGTCGGACAAGAGATCATGGAAGATGGAATTATTTGCTGCTGGAAGAATAACCTGACTTCTTGGCGCAGATTGAGCAATCGGGTCACTACTTTGTTCCTCGACAGTAATCTCACCTCAACGTGAAGAAGAACATGAGTATGCAGAGAGCCCCTTAACAAGGTACCTCAAATATTGAAGAATTGAGCCCTTCGTGGCGAATATCGTTTACAATCTTAAGTACGTCAGAGGGTGCTTCGCCACAAGTTGCTTACGATGTATAATACAATGAGTAAAAAAGATGTCTGGGTGCCCAATATCTTTCACTTCTGCAACAACTCCTTAACGATGTCCAGTCATGATTGCGGCACCGCCTGTGGGTACCCAAACCCACCTCTTTCATTCAATACTGTGTTTCAGAAAATAACGATTAAGTACATAGAAAATTTCAGAGCCACTTGTTCTACCTGACAAGTTTAGAGGACAGAAGATTTCTCCCTTCAATTTTCCTTGGCAATCAAACCTCACAAAACAAAGAAGAACTGCCTTGTTAGTTATGTCTGTTGATATCGAGTTGACTTGAATAAAACGTAGAATTTTTCACATGTTCAATCACTTGATTTTCAATACCTTCTGCCATGTCTTCAATTCTGCCCTTTACAGTGTTAGCACACAGGAATTACTTTCAGTTTCTGGACAGCCTTCTTTCCCGAAACCTCTTTGCAGGCTTCTAACAAGCAAGGCTTAATTAATTCTTCTCATATCGCATACGGCGTTTCGCTCGATTTGAAGTGCCATCAAATAAGAGGATTTCACGTGGGACTCATCTTCAACAATAATTGTTGCTAATAAACTTTTTTGCTTTTGCAAATTTTCAGGCATTTTTGGAATCCATTGGAAGTATTCAATGGTTTTCTAGCTAAATCTGGGAGTTTTGCCTGCAAGTCCCTGGCGAATTTAGACGGTTTCATGGCATCATTGGATTAACTCTCAGAACACATAATGCAAAGCGACCCTGAATTCAGTTCGCTTCCTGGTTCTTCAGTAAATCCAAACTTGAAATAGTGAAAACTTTGGATTTTTTCTTCTCTCCGCCTCCAGTTCTAATCTCCTGCTTGATGAAACCTTGTGGTGGCTGCGGAATTCCTGATTCATTAATCTACTCAAGACAACGCGATGTATTGCTTAAGAAGCGCAAAGTGCTTGCTAACTCTTCCTATCTCATTGGGGGTTATTTTATTCGAATCTAAAACCAAACAATAAATAAGATAGTTATCAAAACCTAACTTTTTCGTGCCATATAAGATCACACTGTGTAACAGTTAGAATAAAAGTACCACTGGCCATTTATTTATTAAAAGACTATCATATTAAATAAACACCAGTACAGCGTTGACGAAAATCCTTTCTTGAGGAAGCCCAACAAGACAAAGCAATCGGGCAATTGATGGAACAGGCATTACTGACAGTGCAGATCAGCATTGTTTATCGCAGCGCAGATCTTACCCGGAGTGTAGACTAAGACAGATATCAAAGTAGGTTTTTTTTCTTCGCCAATTGTACTGTAACTTGCTGGTCTGCTCGTCGCTCTTGCAAGTCTTGCGAACTGCGCCTTGCCGAGGCTAGGCCATCGATGAGAAACAGAAATAGCTAACTATATTTTTTACAATGAAAGCATCGCTAATTCCGGATATTGCACCGGTCCTTTAAGGATTGTGTAGTAGCAAGGAAGAGATTGCAAACAGGTACAGTAAGAAAATAATGAAACATTTTAATAAACACAAAAATCGCAAATATATTCAAATTAATCTACGGACCACCGATTGTAGACCACTGATTTAAGGGAACATACCAAGAACCGACTCGCAACATTTCTACACAGCCCAAAGTTCAAAGTCATAATTGGTGCAACGCGTCAGGGCCCCGTTTTAAAACGATTTCAGTAAGCATTTTAATTATTTTCACGTTGACGGATAGTGATAGATAAGAGAACAGGTAGAAAACCATTAAATTCAAAACAGCACTGCACATGACACAAAATTTGAAAAAAATAGCGAAGTTGCTAAATGTTTGAGAAAGATATCTGCGTCCTCTTTCAGAAGAATATCAGTTCCATCAAACTTCTTTCATGCCCAGCTCCAAGAGTAATCACTACACTAGACCATGAAACTTGAGCTTCAAAAAAATGAATAAAACAAAAAAGTAATCAGAGCTAATCATAAGAGAGTCAGAGATTTCAAAACATATAATTATGCTTTCAATTTATTGGCGCTATGATGATCTCATACCATGCTCTCTTTGAGATTAATGCGAACATTAATCTACGCATCGAATTTAACAGTGACGACTTTATGTTGGATTTTTTCAGGCTAAAGCAAGCGAGCGAGTGGAACAATAAAGCGTTATCTATATTAATTATATAGATACTATTCGGATACGTCATACACCATATACTTTCATATAAAAAAGACCACTTCTGACGAAAGTAACACAGAGTTACCTCAGAGTATTGAACTCAGTTCTTAAGGCAGCTCTGTTGCGTTTTGCTTTCATTTCCATTTCTTTCCGAGAGTTTTCCCAATCCTTCAGTTTTGCACTATCAACATCGAAAGTATTGACCGTCTTTGTCAATCCTGAAACAAAATAAAGTATTTGAAATGCGCCATGACAGCAACTTTCGCTTAGACAAACTTTGTATCTGCCTATCTTTTTCGATAAGGTTTTCTTTCAACTCTTCTTTCGTTGCATCCCAACAGACCTGCAGATGAACTAACTTTTCTTCCAAATCTCGTTCCCTTGCTTTCGCCGTTCTTTTGATAGTTTGAAGTCGCTCTTCTGCTTCTGCGCATCTTCGAGATAAAGACTTATTTTCGTCTGTCAGTTGTTTTATCTCGAAATCTTTGCCTTCGTTGGTTCTTTGTAACTCAGAGATGTTATCCTTAAATACGAATTTAAAACGGCATACGTTTAATACCAGTCCAAACGTGAGATCGTGCAACGGAGTATGCTAGAAGTCAACTAACTCATCCAGAATCATACTTCATCACGTATGCAATACACACTTGTTAACGGTTGCCAAAAAGAGCAATCTGGTCTATTCAATTCCATGGCAATTGAACACTTACAGTGGTGGACGCAGAGAACAGTCTGATCATCTTTGCTATCTTGGACACTGACTAATAATGTTCAAATGCAGCCAAAAGTACAGAAATGGACTTGCATCCTGAATCCTAACAGCCATAGGTTCAAAATTTCAAGATACTGATTACGGACCATGTAATAAGCGCCTTCCTTCGCAGCATATTCCCGAAGACCCAATAACTCTAATATTATTATATTAACTATAGTCATCAAAGATTCATAAATAAATTCAACTGTATATTTAGTAACGTAAATCAATAGTATATCTGTCGGAAAGATATAAATTATTTTACAAACCTTGAGAAAAACTGAGCTTAAGCCATGCTCCCGGACAGTTAATTTCAAGGAAAATTACCTGAAGATTCTTAAGCGCCAGCTGATGATCCATTTCCAGCGACCGGACCTTGATTTGCTCTCGCAGAAGCGCTTGACTCAACGACGCAGAGTTTGGCATATGCTTTTGGTATATTTCTTCGGACATAATTCGTACTTGCTCTTTAAGACTTAGATTTTCTCCCGCTTTCAGGCGATATTCATCGACAGTTTTGCTAAGCTGCTTGATTCTTGCCATCAGCATCATTTTCTGTTGCTCAAAGTCTTGTTGGAGGCTAGTAATCTTTCTGGAATGTTGGTCGTTTAGCTCTGCGGTTTTTTCCTCAGCTTCTAATAACTGTTTCCTCAACGATGCGTGCCGTATGCAAAGCGTGTTGAATTCGGTGCGGTAATGTTGAAGAGCTGCGCTTTCACCTGGGTTCTTTCTACCGTTTCCCAGGGGTCGATCCATTATATAATAGTCTTCAAGCGGGACTGG